GCTCAGTGATGTCTCGCCTCTGGCCTGTTTTTTCCTTTACAGCACGGCTGCAAACAGCCAGCCTTGTGGAAGGAAAATGTGATTATTCGCTGAGAGGCGGATAGGTAGCCGAGCGGCAAGCGGTTGAACGGAGATAACTGAAACAAGCTGAAAACAAAAGCCACGAGCTGAAAGTTATAGCTTGATGTGCGTCAAGGGAGGAAGAAAAGAAAGACCACCCAGGCAGTGAGGGGGAACGCAGCCGATGCCGCCGCCGCGCTCACATACCTGCATTCTATTCATTCACCGGCGCGGATATAAAAGGGCCCATTCAGGGCTGGCGAGAAGCAGCTAAAACTAAAATTAGAAGGTACTTGTAACCTTTTTTTTTCCATTTTTTTCCCTCTCTCTCTCGGAAAGCCTCCCGCTCTGAGCACTCGATGTGCCACGTATCGGCACACAGAACTTTAGTTAAAAGAAGGGTATAATTTTCTTTTAATTATCCTTCTGGGAAATGAAGCGACGGGAGGAACTGGCTGTGGCGGATGTCAGACTGCGCAGGACCGCGACGCTCGGCTACAGGCATTGAACCCAACCAGATCTATTTTATAACGTAGCGTCATGAATCATTCACGGCGTTCAAGGCCTTCGCTTAGTACAGAAAGTGACGGGAATGCTAAATATTTCAGTTCTCACCTGAACGGGAGGTGAGAGTAAATCTGCCATCTGGGGTCTGGTGAGAACTGTCTGAATGGGAGTGAGAGTAAATCTGCCATCGGGGGTCTGGTGACAACTGTCTGAACGGGAGGTGAGAGTAAATCTGCCAGCAGGGGTCTGGTGACAACTGTCTGAACGGGAGGTGAGAGTAAATCTGCCATCTGGGGTCTGGTGACAACTGACTGAATGGGAGGTGAGAGTAAATCTGCCATCGGGGGGGGGGGTCTGGTGACAACTGTCTGAAAGGCGGGTGAGAGTAAATCTGCCATCGGGGGTCTGGTGACAACTGTCTGAACGGGAGGTGAGAGTAAATCTGCCATCGGGGGTCTGGTGACAACTGTCTGAACGAGAGGTGAGAGTAAATCTGCCATCTGGGGTCTGGCGACAACTGTCTGAACGGGAGGTGAGAGTAAATCTGCCAGCGGGGGTCTGGTGACAACTGTCTGAACGGGAGGTGAGAGTAAATCTGCCATCTGGGGTCTGGTGACAACTGTCTGAACAGGAGGTGAGAGTAAATCTGCCATCAGGGGTATGGTGACAACTGTCTAAACAGGAGGTGAGAGTAAATCTGCCATCGGGGGTCTGGTGACAACTGTCTGAACGGGAGGTGAGAGTAAATCTGCCATCTGGGGGTCTGGTGACAACTGTCTGAACAGGAGGTGAGAGTAAATCTAGCATCTGGGGTCTGGTGACAACTGTCTGAACGGGAGGTGAGAGTAAATCTTCCATCTGGGGTCTGGTGACAACTGTCTGAACGGGAGGTGAGAGTAAATCTGCCATCTGGGGTCTGGTGACAACTGTCTGAACGGGAGGTGAGAGTCAATCTGCCATCGGGGGTCTGGTGACAACTGTCTGAACAGGAGGTGAGAGTCAATCTGCCATCTGGGGGTCTGGTGACAACTGTCTGAATGGGAGGTGAGAGTCAATCTGCTATCTGGGGTCTGGTGACAACTGTCTGAACGGGAGGTGAGAGTCAATCTTCCATCTGGGGTCTGGTGACAACTGTCTGAACGGGAGGAGAGAGTAAATTTGCAATCGGGGGGGGGGTCTGGTGACAACTGTCTAAAAGGCGGGTGAGAGTAAATCTGCCATTTGGGGTCTGGTGACAACTGTCTGAACGGGAGGTGAGAGTCAATCTTCCATCTGGGGTCTGGTGACAACAGTCTGAATGGGAGGTGAGAGTAAATCTGCCATCGGGGGTCTGGTGACAACTGTCTGAATGAAGAGGTGGTGAGAGTAAATCTGCCATCTGGGGTCTGGTGACAACTGTCTGAACGGGAGGTGAGAGTAAATCTGCCATCGGGGGTCTGGTGACAACTGTCTGAACGGGAGGTGAGAGTAAATCTGCCATCGGGGGTCTGGTGACAACTGTCTGAACGGGAGGTGAGAGTAAATCTGCCATCGGGGGTCTGGTGACAACTGTCTGAACGGGAGGTGAGAGTAAATCTGCCATCGGGGGTCTGGTGACAACTGTCTGAACGGGAGGTGAGAGTAAATCTGCCATCGGGGGTCTGGTGACAACTGTCTGAATGGGAGGTGAGAGTAAATCTGCCATCTGGGGTCTGGTGACAACTGTCTGAACGGGAGGTGAGAGTAAATCTGCCATCGGGGGTATGGTGACAACTGTCTGAACAGGAGGTGAGAGTAAATCTGCCATCGGGGGTCTGGTGACAACTGTCTGAACGGGAGGTGAGAGTAAATCTGCCATCTGGGGGTCTGGTGACAACTGTCTGAACAGGAGGTGAGAGTAAATCTAGCATCTGGGGTCTGGTGACAACTGTCTGAACGGGAGGTGAGAGTAAATCTTCCATCTGGGGTCTGGTGACAACTGTCTGAACGGGAGGTGAGAGTAAATCTGCCATCTGGGGTCTGGTGACAACTGTCTGAACGGGAGTGAGAGTCAATCTGCCATCGGGGGTCTGGTGACAACTGTCTGAACAGGAGGTGAGAGTCATTCTGCTAGCGGGGGGTCTGGTGACAACTGTCTGAACGGAAGGTGAAAGTCAATCTGCCATCTGGGGTCTGGTGACAACTGTCTGAATGGGAGGTGAGAGTCAATCTGCCATCTGGGGTCTGGTGACAACTGTCTGAATGGGAGGTGCGAGTCAATCTGCCATCTGGGGTCTGGTGACAACTGTCTGAACGGGAGGTGAGACTCAATATTCCATCTGGGGTCTGGTGACAACTGTCTGAACGGGAGGAGAGAGTAAATTTGCAATCGGGGGGGGGGGGGGGGGGGGGTTTGGTGACAACTGTCTGAAAGGCGGGTGAGAGTAAATCTGCCATTTGGGGTCTGGTGACAACTGTCTGAACGGGAGGTGAGAGTAAATCTGCCATCGGGGGTCTGGTGACAACTATCTGAATGAGAGGTGAGAGTAAATCTGCCATCTGGGGTCTGGTGACAACTGTCTGAATGGGAGGTGAGAGTAAATCTGCCATCGGGGGTCTGGTGACAACTGTCTGAACGGGAGGTGAGAGTAAATCTGCCATCTGGGGTCTGGTGACAACTGTCTGAACGGGAGGTGAGAGTAAATCTGCCATCGGGGGTCTGGTGACAACTGTCTGAACGGGACATGAGAGTCAATCTTCCATCTGGGGTCTGGTGACAACAGTCTGAATGGGAGGTGAGAGTAAAAATGCCATTGGGGGGTCTGGTGACAACTGTCTGAACGGGAGGTGAGAGTAAATCTGCCATCGGGGGTCTGGTGACAACTGTCTGAACGGGAAGTGAGAGAGTAAATCTGCCATCTGGGGGGGGGTCTGGTGACAACTGTCTGAACGGGAGGTGAGAGTAAATCTGCCATCGGGGGTCTGGTGACAACTGTCTGAATGGGAGCACCTGGTACAAAAGTTAATTTCACTTCAAAAGGTCCTTCTGAAACATCTAATAGTTAGGAGCACCGTGCACCCCGACGTGTTTCGGGGGGAAGAAGCTTCCCATTTGATTGACATGGATGGCTCATAGATACAATGTTGCTGATTTATGGACTTACACAGCAACATAATATACATGGGATGTGTTCAGAAAGGGGCGGGGCCACTCCAACCAACCCAGACAGTCCAGTGTGTAGAGGAGGGGTCTCCAAACCTTTCAGACAAGAGGCCAGTTTAATGTCCTCCACACTTTAGGGGGGCCGGATTGAGGCCCATCATTGGTGTCAGTGGGGGGAATAGTGCTCCATCGTTGGTGTCAGTGGGGGGAATAGTGCCCCATCATTGGTATCAGTGGGAGGAATAGTGTCCCATCATTGGTGTCATTGGGAGGAATAGTGCCCCATCATTGGTGTCAGTGGGAGGAATAGTGCCCCATCATTGGTGTCAGTGGGGGGAATAGTGCCCCATCGTTGGTGTCAGTGGGAGGAATAGTGCCCCATCATTGGTGTCAGTGGGAGGAATAGTGCCCCATCGTTGGTATCAGTGGGAGGAATAGTGCCCCATCATTGGTGTCAGTGGGAGGAATAGTGCCCCATCATTGGTGTCAGTGGGAGGAATAGTGCCCCATCATTGGTGTCAGTGGGAGGAATAGTGTCCCCATCATTGGTGTCAGTGGGAGGAATAGTGCCCCATCATTGGTGTCAGTGGGAGGAATAGTGCCCCATCATTGGTGTCAGTGGGAGGAATAGTGTCCCATCATTGGTGTCAGTGGGAGGAATAGTGTCCCATCATTGGTGTCAGTGGGAGGAATAGTGCCCCATCATTGGTATCAGTGGGAGGAATAGTGCTCCATCATTGGTATCAGTGGGAGGAATAGTGCCCCATCATTGGTGTCAGTGGGAGGAATAGCGCCCCATCATTGGTATCAGTGGGGGAGGATAGTGTCCCATCATTGGTGTCAGTGGGAGGAATAGCGTCCCATCATTGGTGTCAGTGGGAGGAATAGTGTCCCATCATTGGTGTCAGTGGGAGGAATAGTGTCCCATCATTGGTGTCAGTGGGAGGAATAGTGTCCCATCATTGGTATCAGTGGGAGGAATATGTCCCATCATTGGTGTCAGTGGGAGGAATAGTGTCCCATCATTGGTTTCAATGGAAGACGTACAACCCTGTATAGTGAATGCGGGGTCCGGGGAGAGCGGATATAGTGAATGCAGGGTCCGGGGAGAGCGGATATAGCGAATGCGGGGTCCGGGGAGCGGATATAGTAAATGCAGGGTCCGGGAGACCAGATATAGTGAATGCGGGGTCCGGGGAGAGCGGATATAGTGAATGCGGGGTCCGGGGAGACCAGATATAGTGAATGCAGGGTCCGGGGAGACCAGATATAGTGAATGCGGGGTCCGGGAGAGCGGATATAGTGAATGCAGGGTCCGGGGAGACCAGATATAGTGAATGCAGGGTCCGGGGAGACCAGATATAGTGAATGCGGGGTCCGGGGAGAGCGGATATAGTGAATGCAGGGTCCGGGGAGAGACCGGATATAGTGACCTTCCCAGCTCACGTACCGGCCAGCCTGCAACAAAACAGTTCACACTAAAAACAAGGTGCTTAGTTTGCACACGTTTGCAAATTCCTGCGTATCCTGCACCCTGGGCCCCTGCAGACCCCATCTCAATCTCCAGGGGTGCTCAGACAGGGACTGTACAGAAGGCCCCCTTCCTCACACGGCTACGTGATTACAACGTTCACCCACACTCTATTCTCATCATGGATCTGCTTCTTTGAAGGAAAACACACCTCCATCCGAACCAATTTTCACTTCACGGTTTCAGCGCTATCATTCATATCTCAGGCTGTTCCATCTCATCTCCAAGACAGGAAGTGATGGGAAATCTCTCTAATTTGACGAGAGCAAAAAAAAAAAAAAAAAATTTGGAATTTAACTCTTCCCTACTCTCTCGATTTAAAAAAAAAAAAGTTTGGGCTACACAAACAATAGTTTATCATGTGCCCAAAAATGAGCCGGCTCTACACGTGGCAACCAAGTCAATTTCAGCCACTTTCAAGAAACCAGGAATTGCAAATATGCCCATATGGAAGAAAAATATATTTGAAATATATTTTCAAATAAATAAAATATATTTGAAATATATTTAAAAAATATTTTTCCCAAATATATTGACATATTTTGAAATACTACAATTCTATATATTTCAAAATATAATTCAATAAATATATATATATATGTGTGTGCGTGTGTGCGGGTGTATATATATATATTATATATATACTGAATGTTGAAATGTGTTTTTATTACAAAATACATGAAAAAATATTTTTAAAAATACATTTCAAATATACCGTACGTCTTTAAAAATACAAATCTACATTTTTGGAATGCATTTACAAATATATGTAAAAAATATATGTTAAAATGACTTTTTTATATGGTAAAAAATAATTTGAATATATTTAAAAAAATATATATATTTAAATATATTTTTCATTTATTTTGTAATATATAAAAAACACATTTCAACATGCAGTTTATGTGTCTCTCTCTCTCTCTCTCTATATATATATATATATATATATATATTTTATTTTTATTTTTTTTCAAATATATTGAATATGGCCACATTTGTAGTATTTCAAATATATCAAAATATTTGGGAAGAATATTTTTGAAATATATTTTTCTTCCATGTGGGTGATCACAAGTGGATTGTCAGAAACAAGTAAACCTACAACCGATGAGGCTGATTGGCCACCAGAATTTCAATCAATTGTGACGTTAAAATTGGGCACTAAATTGTCAGCTTCAAGACAGCTGAATAAAAGATCAAAAAACAAATGAAATACAAAAAACAACAGCAATTTCATATATATATATGTATTCAGAGCTTTTTTTCAGCAGGAACGTGGCACCGCCAACCCTGAATGTATGTATGACAAGGGGTGCTGGGGTGTACTGAAGGGTCCATTGATGCTGGCTGCTGGAGGATCTGTTGCCGCTGGAGGGGATCTATTTTTTGCTGGGGGGAGGTCTGTTGTTGGTTGTTGCTGGTGGGGGGGTATATTGTTCCAGGGGTTGGGTCTTATGTTGCTGGGGGGACAATTGCTGCTGAGAGGGATCCTCTGTTGAGGTAGGGGTCTGTTGTTGCTGGCTGCCAGGGGTCTATTGTTTCTTGGGGGGTTGGGGTTCCGTTGTTGCTGGCTGCAAGGAATATATTTTACTGCTTTTCTTGTTATCAATAATGAATTCCATACAGATCAATACTTGGTCCTGTATTCTCTAAAGGGGCGGGACTGTGAGGAGCCAAGGAACGGAGCTCAGAGTTGGGTAGGCGGCAGAGACAAGCAGTGACTCGAAAAGAGGAAGTTCCTGCACCTATTTTCTGAGAAAAAAAGCCCTGAATGTATATAATTATATTCAGTATAACATGAAAGGAAGACTCTGAAAACCCATCAGATCTCAATGGGGAGGAATCTCCTGCTGGATCTCTATACTGACATGGACGGGGTAATGTGTGAGGAACGTAAGGACGCCCCATCGTTTGATGGAAATGAAAATGATCGACCTACAGAGGACTGAATTCAAAGACACCCCGAAAATCAAAGTGAAAAAATGATGCAGCAGGCGAGTCCATTGTGCTGAAATGTCATTGCAGCAACTCAGAATGGTCCTCAGTAGTTTGTGTGGCCCCCACGTGCTTGTATGCATGCCTGACAACGTCGGGGGATGGGAGCTCCTGATGAGACCACGGATGGGTGTCCTGGGGGATTTCCTCCCAGATCTGGACCAGGGCATCACTGAGCTCCTGGACAGTCTGAGGTGCAACCTGGCAGCGTCAGATGGACCGAAACATGACATCCAGAGGTGTTCTATTGGATTTAGGTCAGACGAGTGTGGGGGCCATTCAATGGTATCAATTCCTTCATCCTCCAGGAACTGCCTGCATACTCTCCCCACATGAGGCCGGACATTGTCGTGCACCAGGAGGAACCCAGGACCCACTACACCAGGAGGAACCCAGGACACACTGCACCAGGAGGAACCCAGGACCCACTGCACCAGGAGGAACCCAGGACCCACCGCACCAGGAGGAACCCAGGACACACCGCACCAGGAGGAACCCAGGAGCCACTGCACCAGTAGGAACCCAGGACCCACTGCACCAGGAGGAACCCAGGACCCACTGCACCAGGAGGAACCCAGGACCCACTGCACCAGGAGGAACCCAGGACCCACTGCGCCAGTGTAGGGTCTGAAAATGGGTCCAAGGATTTCATCCCCATACCTAATGGCAATCAGGGTGCCATTGTCTAGCCTGTAGAGGTCTGTGCGTTCCTCCATGGATATGCCTCCCCAGACCATCACTGACCCACCACCAAAACAGTCATACTGAACCATGTTACAGGCAGCAGAACGTTCTCCACGGCTTCTCCAGACCCTTTCATGTCTGTCACATGTGCTCAGGGGGAACCTGCTCTCATCTGTGAAAAGCACAGGGTGCCAGTGGTGGACCTGCCAATTCTGGTGTTCAATGGCAAATGCCAATCGAGCTCTATGGTGCCGGGCAGTGATCACAGGGCCCAGTAGAGGACGTCGGGCCCTCAGGCCTCCCTCATGAAGTCTGTTTCTGATTGTTTGGTCAGAGACATTCAGTGGCCAGCTGGAGGTCATTTTGTAGGGCTCTGGCAGGGCTCATCCTGTTCCTCCTTGCAAAAAGGAGCAGATACCGGTCCTGCTGATGAGTTAAGGACCTTCTACGACCCTGTCCAGCTCTCTTAGAGGAACTGCCTGTCTCCTGGAATCTCCTCCATGCTCTTGAGACTGTGCTGGGAGACACAGCAAACCTTCTGGCAATGGCAGGTATTGATGTGCCATCCTGGAGGAGTTACAAAGTTAGTCTGACTGAAAAAAAAAACAAAAGTCCCTCCAGTTCAACCATTAAAAAAAAAAAAAGTTATAATCCTACACCCACAGTTGATCCAGAGGAAGGCAAAAAAAACCAACAAAGCATGATCCAATTTGCTCCTGCAGGGAAAAAAATTCCTTCCTGATCCCCCGAGAGGCAATCGGATATTCCCTGGATCAACTTTCCCTATAAATGTTATATCCAGTTATATTCTGTGTATCCAAGAAAGAATCCAGGACTTTCCTACAGCAATCCACTGAGCTGGCCACAACCAACAACTCTGGAGGGAGTCTATTCCACATTCTCACAGCTCTTACTGTGAAGAAACCTTTCCGTTGTTTGGAGAATATATTTATTTTCCTCCAGACATAAAGAGCGCCCCTTTGTCCTCTGTGATGACCTCTGGGGGAATAACTACACAGAGTTCACTATATGAACCACTGATGTATTTTACATGGAGATCATATCCCCCCCTTATGTATTATACATGGAGATCATATTCCCCCCCCTTTATGTATTATACATGGTGATCATATCCCCACTTATGTATTATACATGGAGATCATATCCCCCCTTATGTATTATTACATGGAGATCATATCCCCACCCCCTTATGTATTATACATGGAGATCATATCCACCCCTTATGTATTATACATGGAGATCATATCCCCCTTATGTATTATACATGGAGATCAGATCCCCCCCTTATGTATTATACATGGAGATCAGATCCCCCCCCTTATGTATTATACATGGAGGATCAGATCCCCCCTTATGTATTATACATGGTGATCATATCCCCCCTTATGTATTATACATGGAGATCCTATCCCCCCTTATGTATTTTACATGGAGATCATATCCCCCCTCATTATGTATTATACATGGGAGATCATATCCCCCCCCCATTATGTTTTTTACATGGAGATCATATCCCCACTTTATGTATTATACATGGTGATCATATCCCCCCTTATGTATTATTACACTTGGTGATCATACCCCCCCTTATGTATTTTACATGGAGATCATATCCCCCTTTATGTATTATACATGGAGATCATATCCCCCCTTATGTATTATACATGGAGATCATATCCCCCCTTATGTATTATACATGGAGTTCATATCCCCCCTTATGTATTATACATGGAGATCATATCTCACCACTTATGTATTATACATGGAGATCATATCCCCCCTTATGTATTATACATGGAGATCATATCCCCCTTATGTATTATACATGGAGATCATATCCCCCCTTATGTATTATACATGGAGATCATATCCCCCCTTATGTATTATACATGGAGATCATACCCCCCTTATGTATTATACATGGAGATCATATCCCCCTTATGTATTATACATGGTGATCATATCCCCCCTTATGTATTATACATGGAGATCATATCCCCCCTTATGTATTATACATGGCGAATCATATCCCCCCTTATGTATTATACATGGAGATCATATCCCCCCTTATGTATTATACATGGAGATCATATCCCCCTTATGTATTATACATGGAGATCATTATCCCCCTTATGTATT